TCTCTCTCTCTCTCTCTCTCTCTCTCTCTCTCTCTCTCTCTCTCTCTCTCTCTCTCTCTCTCTCTCTCTCTCTCTCCCTGTGTGTGTGTGTGTGTCTCGCACACTTCTTGGCATGCGGTTTTTCAGCTTCTTTGTTTTTTTGGGGGGTGCAAATGGACCACGGATCGGATATGAAACGGATTGGAACAGATAGGACACGTGATGATTGGGGGGAGGGAGGGGGGGTCATAGGTACTCTCTTTCTCTCTCTCTCTCTCACACACACACACGAACACACACACATGCGCTCGCGCCCGTGCGGATTTTCCGTTTCTTTTGTTTATTTAAATGATCCCGATGAACTCATCGGGACAGATAATACACTTGGTGGGGGAGAGGTGGGGTCGTAGCTAGCTCTCTCTCTCTCTCTGTCACACACACACACACACACACACTGTGACACACACTGTGACACACACTGTGACACACACTATGACACACACTGTGACACACTGTGACACACACTGTGACACACATTGTGACACACACACTGACACACTGTGACACACACACTGACACACACACTGACACACTGTGACACACTGTGACACACACACACACACACACACACACACACACACACACACACACACACACACACACACACACACTCAAAGGTGTCGATGGAATCTCTCTCTTTCTCACACAATCACTGAAAGGTGTTGATGGACTCTCTCTCTCTCTCTCACTCACTGAAAGGTGTCAATGGACTCTCTCTCTCTCTCGCTCTCTATCCACCTATCTCTCCGAGACTCTCCCCCTCTCTTTCTCTCGCGCGAGCGCGTTTTTTTCTGTTTCTTTTTTCGGGGTCACGATGGACCACGGAACTGATCGGTACAGATAATACACTTGACGGTGGGGAGGGGGGCTGGTGGGACGTAGGTACACTGTCTCTCTCTCTCTTGCGCACGGGCTTGTGTGTTTTTTTAACTTTTTTTCCGTTTCTTTTTTTTGGGTCATGAAGGGATACCGAATCTATTACCGATCAGATAGGAAACTGATCGGTTCCGACAATACACTTGATGGTGGGGGGGAGGGGGGTCGTATTCTCTCTCTCTCTCTCTCTCTCTCTCTCTCTCTCTCTCTCTCTCTCTCTCGAGCGCGCTTTTTTAGGTTTCATTTTTTTTGGGCCCCAATGGACCAGGGATCAGATATGAAACTGATCAGTACAGGACCTACGGAATACACTTGAGGTCGTAGGTTCTCTCTCTCTCTCTCTCTCTCTCTCTCT